TCCTCAATCTTTGACGGCTTTTGTTACATTTATTAAACAGTTTACAAGCAATCAACTGTTGTTATTGTTATAAACAGCCTCCTGGTGCTTCGGAGCTTATTAGCTATTTAGTAATTGTAAACAAGGCTGCCAAAGATTGCGGAAAGATGTACAGGTTCTTAAGTGCTTGCGTAACTGCTTCGTGAATCTGGCCCCTGGTTCCTGAGCCTACTGGGCTCTATCATATCTGTGGGAACCGACCTGTGAGATTTATATTTATTTAATTTATATGAATTTATATTTACGTTAATTTATATACTTCGATAGCAATTTGTATAATGATAAGTGGACTGTATTTCTGCAATAATCTCATAATCTCACAAATCGATCCTCTACACATTAGGGGGGGTTTATATTTATATATATGCAGCCAATCAAACTACAGAATTAACTACATACATTGAAGAGGTTCCTTATCTTATAGTACAGCAGGTTAGTCCACCAGGTATAACTAGGGTGTAGACACCAAATTATCCTCTTTGAGGTAGCTTCCATATCACCCAGTAACTGGTGCACAAAATCTTCCTCGTCTTAACCTGTCAAAAGTGCGCTAGCTGTGAAGCCAGAATCCTATATATGACAAGTATTTCAGAGAAAACTGTACATGGAACATGAAGACCTGGCTTAATTACCTTTAGTTTGAGGCTTCCACGTGCTCTAACCGGGTCACCCTATATAATGACATTAATGGCCATAAATGAAAGATACATGGGTTTCGGAAAGAACACTTAACTTGAATTGTTGACAGCGTGTTGAAAATGGTACACCTTTGGTTTCCATAACACTACGTCCAAGTAAAATTAACAGGAGCCGAATTTGCTCCCGTGTGAGCCTCTGGTCTAGTATAAACCATGGCTGCCCTCCTTCCTCCCTCTGACGCCTGGCTTACATTGTCCACATGTCAGAAAGTGATAGAAGGGTCACATTTACTCTACTTTAATATTGATAATTAAGTTAACTTATATAAGATGTTTTTATGATGGTAAAGTCCAAAGACTAATGTATTTAAGAACAATTCCCACCATAATAGGTGGTGGTTTATAATAGTATGTGGTGATGATATCCCGTTTTCTTTAGACGGTAATTCCACTACAAGTTACGTTTTCTATGGGTAACTTGTTTATACAATACAGCTATTATCTGTATGATTATTAAATGGTGTCGGATTTTCCGACAATATCTACACTTGAAACTGTGTATGGAGTCAGCCTCCACCACATCACTTCCTAATGCATTCCATTTGTATTCTACTCTGACACAGAAAAAGTTCTTTCTAATATCTCTGTGGCTCATTTGGGCACTCACTTTCCACTTGTGTCCCCAAGTGCGTGTGCCCCTTGTGTTAAATAGCCTGTCTTTATCTACCCTGTCATTTCCTCTGAGAATCTTGTATGTTGTGATCATGTCCCCTCTTTCTCTTCTGTCTCCCAATGACGTGAGGTTTAATTCCTTTAGTCTCTCCTCGTAGTTCATACCCCTAAGTTCAGGTACTAGTTTGGTGGCAAACCTTTGAACCTTTTCCAGTTTAGACTTATGCTTGACTAGATATGGACTCCATGCTGGTGCCGCATACTCCAGGATTGGTCCGACATACGTCGTATACAAAGTTCTGAAAGATTCCTTTCACAAGTTTCTAAAGGCCGTTCTTATGTTAGCCAACCTGGCATATGCCGCTGATGTTATTCTCTTGATATGGGCTTCAAGGGACAGGTCTGGCGTGATATCAACCCCCAGGTCTTTCTCTCCATCTGACTTTTGAAGTATTTCATCTCCCAAATGATACCTTGTATCTGGTCTCCTGCTCCCTACTCCTATTTTTCTTACATTACATTTGCTTGGGTTAAGCTCTAACAACCATTTGTTCGACCATTCCTGCAGCTTGTCCAGGTCTTCTTGAAGCCTCAAGCTGCCCTCTTCTGTCTTAATCCTTCTCATAATCTTGGCGACGTCGTCAAACATTGAGAAGAATGAGTCTATACCCTCCGGGAGATCATTTACGTATATCAGAAACAGAATAGGTCCGAGTACAGAGCCCTGTGGGACTCCACTGGTGACTTCACGCTGATCTGAGGTCTCACCCCTCACCGTAACTCTCTGCTTCCTATTGCTTAGATACTCCCTTATCCACTGGAGCGCCCTACCAGTTACCCCTGGCAGTTTCTCCAGCTTATTCATCAGCCTTTTATGGTGTACTGTGTCAAAGGCCACCCTTCTCTTTCTTGCCTAATTACTGTCACCTGATCGTAGAATTCTATTAAGTCTGTAATGCAAGATTTACCCTCCCTGAACCCACGTTTGCAATTTGTCACGAAGTCTCTTCTCTCCAGATGTGTTACTAGTTTTTTCTCACGATCTTCTCCATCACCTTGCATGGTATACAAGTTAAGGACACTGGCCTGTAGTTCACTGCCTCTTGCCTGTCACCCTTTTTGTATATTAGGACTACATTAGCCGTCTTCCATATTTCTGGTAAGTCTCCCGTCTCCAGTGACCTACTATACACTATGGAGAGTGGCAAGCAAAGTGCCTCTGCCTTTCTAACATCCAGATCCAACAGGTGCCTCTTGACCTCATCTCTTGTAATTTCGAGCCCCTTCCAAGTCCACTTACTTGGAAGCGGCCTAAGTGTGTGTGTGTGTGTGTGTGTGTGTGTGTGTGTGTGTGTGTGTGTACTCACCTAATTGTGTTTGCGGGGGTGAGCTGTGGTGCCTCTCAACCGTCAATCAACAGGTGTGATTCCTGAGCCTATCGGGCTCTGTCATATCTCATGTCATAACACATGTGTGTGTGTGTGTGCGTGTGTGTGTGCGTGTGTGTGTGTGTGTGTGTGTGCGTGTGTGTATGTGTGTGTGTGTGTGTGTGTGTGTGTGTGTGTGTGTGTGTGTGTGTGTGTGTGTGTGTGTGTGTGTGTGTGTGTGTGTGTGTGTGTGTGTGTGTGTGTGTGTGTGCGTGTGTGTGTGCGTGTGTGTGTGCGCGCGTGTGTGTGTGTGTGTGCACAATCAAGGGAAAAGGACAAAAAGGATTAAAAAATGCGAATTGGAAATAAGAGGGTTGCAAAGAATAGGTGCATTGAGTCAGAGGGAAAATAGGATGTTTTGGAAGGCGCGATAGAATAGGTGTGTTTAGAAAGGATGGAGGAGAGGAGGAGGAGGGGGAAGAGGGGGGAGAGAAAGAAGGGAGGGGGGGGAGAGGTGCTGAGTTATGATACCAGAGACTCATTAAGTCTGCTCCAAGAGCCCACGGTGGGAAAACTGCGTGAGGGGGAGAAATGTGGTGTTTTAGAACCCTCGACTTAGGATCTCTTGGCTGGGGTCTCCTGGTTGGGGGTCCCCTGGTTGGGGGTCCCCTGGTTGGGGGTCCCCTGGATGGTGTCCCTTGGTTGGGGGTCCCTTGGTTGGGGGTCCCCTGGTTGGGGGTCCCCTGGCTGGGGGTCCCCTGGTTGGGGGTCCCCTGGTTGGGGGTCCCCTGGCTGGGGGTCCCCTGGCTGGGGGTCCCCTGGCTGGGGGTCCCCTGGATAGGGGTCCCCTGGTTGGGGGCCCTGGCTGGGGGTCCCCTGGCTGGGGGTCCCCTGGCTGGGGGTCCCCTGGATAGGGGTCCCCTGGCTGGGGGTCCCCTGGCTGGGGGTCCCCTGGCTGGGGGTCCCCTGGTTAGGGGTCCCCTGGTTGGGACCTTGGGCTCATTGGAATGTTTACTATACATAAAAGCTCAGTACCACTCCATGTGATCAATGGACACCATTTATATTGATCACAATACAGATGAAAAGTCACAATAACGTGGCTGAGAAATGTTGACCAAACCACACACTAGAAATTGAAGAGACGACGACGTTTCGGTCCGTCCTGGATCATTATCAAGTCGATTGTGATGAGACGAGGTTGTTGTTGTTGTTATAGATTCAGCTACTCGGAACAAGTTCCAAGTAACACGGGCTATGGTGAGCCCGTAACTTACCTGACACAGGAGCGGAGCAAGTAGCACGGGCTATGGTGATCCCGTAGTGGACTTAAGTAAGGGAAGAGAGAGAGAGAGAGAGAGAGAGAGAGGACACGGAAATCTTAGAAGAAGAAGATAAAAACAAGGCAAAAGGTACGGAAGGTAACGTGCAATATTAGGAGTAAGACTGGAAACGTACGAGAAACATGAAAAAGAAAGAGAAAAAGGAAGGGGTTGGCTTATGTTAGGTCACATTTGCTAGAATGTTTAGAAGATTTGAGTATATACTGTGAAAGGAAAGAGTAAACACCTACACAGTCAGGACTAAGGATAACGTTGGATTGGTTGTGAATCAGAGTTGACTCGACCAGACGGGTGTCTGTACAGAGGCAGGAAAGATTATTTTAGAGGAAGACCAATCAATAGGATGATTAGAATCAAACATTGATCACAATATTTTCAGTGACTCCAAAGTTTGCAGCGATTTATATATGTTTAATGTTATACTTAATACTTAAGTAAAGCACATTTGCTATCTTCATAATGTTTACTTTATTTGGAGAGTTTGCTATTATACAAAGAATATTTTGCTTTCGACACGTTAATATAAATCTCGTTATCAAAGACGTTTTATTTTTATCTCCTGCATTTATTGGGATTTATTACGATTCGATGTGTTTAAGCGTTCTGTATTCTAGAATTGACAGCGATTATTCATTCACTGTTATTATCTTTTCCTTGGAGCGTTTCGCCATCCGTTCCATTGTTTCTGTCTGCATCTGTCCTGTACCATTGCCACTGTCTTCCTGTCTCTCCTTCCTTCCGTCCGTCTGTCTCATTTCTTAAATTTGTCTTTGTTCCATTCACTTTTTATGTCAATCTGTGTCTTCCCTCACTGTACCCCTCTGCCTTACACTCCCCTCCTGCTCTCTCTCCCATTCACTTCTGCGTCTCTCTCTGGCTCTGCTCCCTCCGTCCCACTTCCTCTCCTCTGTCTCTTTCCCTCCGGGGTCTCAATCCCTCATTCAGGAACTGAGTAATTCCGAACGCTCTCCCACGCCGGCGGTAAGAGGACGGGTTGGCTTGTCGCCACCGTCGCGAAGACGGCATCTTGGAAACCTTGTTTCCCTCCTGAAGTGTCGAGGTGACAGGTTCTTCCCTGCCGGTCGCTGCTCCATTCTGTCAAGAGCTGCCGTCACTTCACTGTCCTTGGTCGAGGGTGACACCTCCTCTCTAGTGATCAATGATCAACACTCGCAAACTATTGCCGTAAACTCTCATATATTTATATATGTGTGTATAATGTCAATATTTCAGCAACTATTGTTCTTAATGGCATAGTTTCCATTCGTTTTTCTTTCTGACTGGATCCTCCCTCACTGAAGGGAGTAAAGCAACGTTTAAGATGCTCGTTAGTAACTGTGGTCAAGCCACTGTTTATAAAGATCATGCCAACCTCTGCAAAGGGTAGTTAATGCTTCAGGCCTGTATGATATACACACACACTCCTGCCTTGTTGTATAACCCCCCCATCCCTTGTATTTTCGTTTATATGTCGATTTGTCACGGTTATTTTTGTTTTTGTTTTGAAGTTGTGACAACCTCCCCTCCCCCCCCCTTTCTTCCTGCTAGGGATGAGGGGGTTGGTACAACGAGATCTCGTTCCAGGTGGATGAGTGCCATTCCCCTCACAACAGTCCTCATATCCTAGCTCCTTGTCCTAATAGTTTACTTTCAAGTACTATGTACTCATATTGGCTTAGCATTTTCTCCTCTAGTGATAAATACATTTAGATCAATCCTGGAACTTTGACGGGCTGAAATAATAACGTAATTTACTGTTACGATTTATCACGTGAAATATAGAAGAAAATATATAAATATTAACAAATTTGTGAGCAAACTTGAAAGCGTTGCTTTCATTCGGTACAGTGAAAGCTGGAAACTGGAAGACTGGAAACTAACCGTTTCCAATCTCGACTTGTGTCCTCTCGTTCTGTGTCCTTTCGTTCTGTGCCCTCTCGTTCTGTGCCCTCTCGTTCTGTGCCCTCTCGTTCTGTTCCCTCTCGTTCTGTGCCCTCTCGTTCTGTCCCCTCTCGTTCTGTGTCCTCTCGTTCTGTGCCCTCTCGTTCTGTTCCCTCTCGTTCTGTTCCCTCTCGTTCTGTGCCCTCTCGTTCTGTTCCCTCTCGTTCTGTGTCCTCTCGTTCTGTTCCCTCTCGTTCTGTTCCCTCTCGTTCTGTGTCCTCTCGTTCTGTTCCCTCTCGTTCTGTTCCCTCTCGTTCTGTTCCCTCTCGTTCTGTTCCCTCTCGTTCTGTTCCCTCTCGTTCTGTTCCCTCTCGTTCTGTGCCCTCTCGTTCTGTTCCCTCTCGTTCTGTGTCCTCTCGTTCTGTTCCCTCTCGTTCTGTTCCCTCTCGTTCTGTGCCCTCTCGTTCTGTTCCCTCTCGTTCTGTGCCCTCTCGTTCTGTTCCCTCTCGTTCTGTTCCCTCTCGTTCTGTGCCCTCTCGTTCTGTTCCCTCTCGTTCTGTGCCCTCTCGTTCTGTTCCCTCTCGTTCTGTTCCCTCTCGTTCTGTGTCCTCTCGTTCTGTCCCCTCTCGTTTTGTTCCCTCTCGTTCTGTCCCCTCTCGTTCTGTTCCCTCTCGTTCTGTCCCCTCTCGTTCTGTCCCCTCTCGTTCTGTTCCCTCTCGTTCTGTTCCCTCTCGTTCTGTTCCCTCTCGTTCTGTCCCCTCTCGTTCTGTTCCCTCTCGTTCTGTCCCCTCTCGTTCTGTTCCCTCTCGTTCTGTCCCCTCTCGTTCTGTTCCCTCTCGTTCTGTCCCCTCTCGTTCTGTCCCCTCTCGTTCTGTCCCCTCTCGTTCTGTTCCCTCTCGTTCTGTACCCTCTCGTTCTGTTCCCTCTCGTTCTGTTCCCTCTCGTTCTGTTCCCTCTCGTTCTGTTCCCTCTTGTTCTGTGTCCTCTCGTTTTGTCCCCTCTCGTTCTGTGTCCTCTCGTTCTGTGTCCTCTCGTTCTATGCCCTTTTATAGTGAGTTTTGTATTTTTAGTTAATTTTAGTGAGTTTTATAGTGAGTTTTATAGTGAGACTTTTGCAGTGAGAAATAGGTGGTGGTGAGCGTGTGAGCCGGGAGTCAACACCCTCACCATTACCAGAGGAAGTAATCTCGTCATCAGTAGGAGCAGGAATCCCCATCCAGGGGGCGACACATCTGATGGGCAAACAGTTTCCCCTCTGAGCCTCTCTCACGGGGAGGGGAGGTGTAGAGGAGAAAGGGGGAACGGAGGAGGGGTTTAAGAGGGGGGGGGGGGTAGGTGGAGATGGAAGGGGAGTTGGAGAGGTTGTAGGATGGGGGTGAAGGGGGTATTTGGAACAGGGGGTTTAGTGAAAGAGGACAAAGGGAGAGAGAGGGAGAACAAAAAAGGCAGAAGAGAAAAAGAGGAGACACATATTAAACATCAAAGTGACACGATGAATGATAGTTAGAAGAGAGGAGGAGGAGAAGTGAAGGAGACAATAAACAAACTTACACGACTAAATTACCTGATTAAAAAAGCATCATAAACACGGGTAAATAATGTAATATTTACGACACGCATCATAACAAGGACAGCTTTTAGAGGCTTATGATTAATTCTCCAGAAAGTGAGTTTTGATTAATTTTTAAAATCCAAGTTTACTGAAGATCGTGACGTCGAGCATGAGGGTTCGAACCTCCAGGGGAGTCTCAGTATATAACCTCCTTGTGCACCCTCTTGTCGACATAGGAGCGACAATCATGCCTGTTACCCGCAGACAATGACCTATAAGGCCTGGAGACTCGTGAACTAGAGCAGTCCTCCCCACCACTGTACAGTAAGTTCTTTGCGTCTTTGATCTTTTCATCAGCGGATTATCTCAAGGCGGTGGCCCAGGAGTCTTGGATATATATATATATATATATATATATATATATATATATATATATATATATATATATATATATATATATATATATATATATATATAAAGACTGGCTCAAGAAGTAAATAGAACTGATAAAGACAATAAAATAAGAAGAGATAAGGATTAGAAGATAAGAGATAAGGATTGGGGGAGATGCAATACAAAATGTATTATGTAGCTGAAGAAGAAGGATTCGTAAAAAGAAGACAAGGATTAATGAAATTGGCTAAGGAAGATTGGAAGATGGTTGTTGTTGTTGTTGTTGTTGTTGATGATTTAGGGGCGACGACGATGGTGGGATCGGCTGCTCCCCGGCGTACCCGTGAAGCCTGGAAAGGTGAAACGCCAAGTCAAATCGCGAAACGAGTGACGCCAAATCACTTGAAACTATTATGTCTCGCGGCAAAGAAACCCAAACGGGCAGATGATTGGGGGAGCCCCAGGAGTCCCTCAGGGTGACAAGCACCGGCCCCGCCCCACACAGGTAGCAAAACCCAAAACTCGGCCCCCAACTAAAACGCAAAAGTCATCCAGTGTCCTCCGGCAGAGTAGAAGCCGGCCACCCACCACGACTGAGGGCGCACCAAGAACCCACCAAGACCCGCCAACCCCCCGGCATCTCTAGGCCAAGCCGGCCCCCGAACACCGTCACCCCCCCGGGAGAACCAGCCAGAACACGTCAAAAAAAGATCTATGAACAATCCCGTGACCCAAGGCGATATGGGCGCCAGGCGTCGTACAACCGGACCGTTGAAGAGGGATGCCAAACGACAGTAGCAAAGCCAAAGCGCGAAAACAGGACGTGATCCGGCGGCTCTCAGGCGGAGGCGGCGTCCAGACGTCCGCTCGTCGTCAAGGTTGAACCAGGAGTCCGACTGGAAGATGGGACTCTCAGAGTCAAGGCATAACAAAAAATGGGACACTCTGAATCAAGCTATAACAGAAAATGGGAATCTTTGAGTCAAACTAACAGAAAATAAATATCTGACAAGATAACAGAAAATGGAAATCTCTGAATCAAGCTATAACAGAAAATGAGAATCTCTGAGTCAAGCTATAACATAAAATGGGATTCTCTGAATCAAGCTATAACAGAAAATGGGAATCTTTGAGTCAAACCATAACAGAAAATGGAAATATCTGAATCAAGCTATAACAGAAAATGAGAATCTCTGAGTCAAGCCATAACAGAAAATGGGAACACTGAAAACTAAAATGCCCCCAGACAGAATACAGCGCGATATTTACGCTTTCGACCTCAGCGTCAATATATAAATGGTTCAGTCACATTAAAAGTACAATAAAATTGACTCTATCTCGGATTTAACAGCATCAGCCTCGACTGTAACCAGGATTTAACAGCATCAGCCTCGACTGTAACCAGGATTTAACAGCATCAGCCTCGACTGTAACCAGGATTTAACAGCATCAGCCTCGACTGTAACCAGGATTTAACAGCATCAGCCTCGACTGTAACCAGGATTTAACAGCATCAGCCTCGACTGTAACCAGGATTTAACAGCATCAGCCTCGACTGTAACCAGGATTTAACAGCATCAGCCTCGACTGTAACCAGACTAAAACCACTTCATTTTTAACGTAGGTCTTCAACCCATCCTCCACCCAGAAACAACGGTACATACACCAGCGCCTTCGTTAATAAGTCAGCATTTGAGATAAAATAAAAACCCTTTGTATTGTATATTTAGAATTTATGTACACTTAAATCTAGAAAATGTTTGTGTTACGTTAATTCTGCAACCTGTTCTCAGGCTAGGCTCGTTAAAGTGGCGGCTGAGTCGTCCCCAAGATGCTTTCATAAATTTTAACAAATTGCATATTAAGCAAATACTTGTATATGAAGTTCCATATAGTTCGAATCACAGGGTTGTGATTCGAACAGAGGTCTTCAGCAAAACACTGTTCGAAAAATGTTGGAACATCATCAACTAGGAGTCGTTTTGTAAACCAAATTTTCATTCATAAACAAAGGGTTAGTGAGTGGATTAATGAGCATTTAGCCTTTGTTGATGAGGTCGGGCTGGTTGATGAGGACGGGCTTGTTGATGAGGACGGGCTGGTTGATGAGGATGGGCTGGTTGATAAGGACGGGTTGGTTGATGAGGACGGGCTGGTTGATGAGGACAAGTTGGTTGATGAGGACGGGCTGGTTGATGAGGACAAGTTGGTTGATGAGGACGGGCTGGTTGATGAGGACGGGCTGGTTGATAAGGACGGGCTGGTTGATGATGACGGGTTGGTTGATGAGGACGGGCTGGTTGATGAGGACAAGTTGGTTGATGAGGACGGGCTGGTTGATGAGGACGGGCTGGTTGATGAGGACAAGTTGGTTGATGAGGACGGGCTTGTTGATGAGGACGGGCTGGTTGATGAGGACGGGCTGGTTGATAAGGACGGGTTGGTTGATGAGGACGGGCTGGTTGATGATGACGGGCTGGTTGATGATGACGGGCTGGTTGATGAGGACGGGCTGGTTGATGATGACGGGCTGGTTGATGAGGACGGGCTGGTTGATGAGCAGCAGGATTGAATTTCTTTGGGTGTCACAGCCTAGTCAAGCCCAGTACCAGCCTGTAGTGGACATCGCCTCATCTCTCAATTAATTAATACGTCGCGTTTTCTATTAAAAACGTCGCTTTTTCTGTTAATACGTCGCGTTTTCTGTTAATACGTCGCGTTTTCTGTTAATACGTCGCGTTTTCTATGTTATATTAACCAACGTTACAAATGCAACCGACTATCAAATGTAAAATACCGTTTAAGAAATTTTCTTTGCATCGGACTGATGAGTTAGGTAGGTTGCTTGGGCTCGAACGTTTCTGGTTAGAGTAGGACGTTCGATCTTATACGTAGCGGCACAGGAAGAGAACGGGCTGAGTGTGCAGCCCATGATTAAAACATTGGTCCAACTCTCGCTAATCATGAATAATAAAAAAAAATATAAAACGTTACACTCAACAGCTAAATACATTCTAACTCTTCTCGAACCCCTTTTAATGGTTTCCACACATACGACAAATGCACATTATTGCTAACAAAAACAAAACACCTAACCTAACCTACCCTAACCTTGGTCTAACCTTACCTACCCTAACCTAACCTATCCTTGGTCTAACCTAACCTAACCTTGGCCTAACCTTACCTACCCTATAACCTAGCCTGGTCTAACCTAACCTAACCTAACCTTGGCCTAACCTTACCTACCCTAACCTAACCTAGCCTTGGTCTAACCTAACCTAACCTAACCTTGGCCTAACCTTACCTACCCTAACCTAACCTAACCTAACCTAACCTGGGCCTAACCTTACCTACCCTAACCTAACCTAGCCTGGTCTAACCTAACCTAACCTAACCTTGGCCTAACCTTACCTACCCTAACCTAACCTAACCTAACCTGGGCCTAACCTCACCTACCCTAACCTAACCTTACCTTGATCTAACTTAACCTAACCTAACCTTGGCCTAACCTTACCTACCCTAACCTAACCTAGCCTTGGTCTAACCTAACCTAACCTAACCTTGGCCTAACCTTACCTACCCTAACCTAACCTAACCTAACCTAACCTGGGCCTAACCTCACCTACCCTAACCTAACCTTACCTTGATCTAACTTAACCTAACCTAACCTTGGCCTAACTACACACATAATATATAATGTAATTGATTTATATCCACATTTGGGAAATTTCTAATGTTAAACACACCATAAGTTAAAATTGATGAATGCGACTTTGGGATTGACCGCATCATCGATGAGCATGTCTGGAGGATGAGTTAATGTGTAAGTACATCTTCACCAATCATAACAAAGCACATAACACAAGCCTAGCAATGTACAAGGTCTTAGCAAGTAAATAACTTTACCATGTCTGAAAGGGATCAGGAGGAGTGGAGTAGGAGGAGGAGGAGGAGGAGGTAAAGGAGAAGCAGAATAGTGGAAGAGTAGGAGGAGATGGAGGAGGAGGAGGAGGAACGTTTTCTCTGAATTTTGTTCACATTAAAGGAACGGAAAAAATGGCAGAATTTAGTTACTGCTCAAAGGTTATGACGAATTCGCTTGGTTCTTCGGAGCCTGTTGTTATTTTAACGATAAAAGGGATTCAGGCCAAACCTTTTTGGCTGCATAATCACCTTTGTTTTCACTCTGTTTGCTCATACATTGGTGCCTTAATGCATTAAGAGAAGCAAGTGAAACAAGCTTTTTAATCTCAATTTTAAAATTGGCAAAGATTTTGTTGATTTTGCTTTCTGGTGCTCGAGAGAAATCAGATTTCTAGCATCACAAAAAGCGAGTGTTTTTTCTCTAAAATGAGTCTTATCGCTCGGGATCGAAGCCTCGTTCTTCGTCGCCCTGTTTAACAAATCCTGGGGCATTCGAATGAGATTTATGACATTTGAATGAGGCATTCGGGGGCATTCGAATGAGTTATTTCCAGATTAGTCTCGCCCAGCTGTCGCTGAGATAGAGAACTCAGACCACCTTTGCTCAGTCATCACCAACTCGCTCTGACTATGACAAATTTTGATAAGAGGTCACCATGGGCAGAACCAATGACGGCACCATCTATTCGTTCATAAATGAGACCATCGGGGCGCAGGAAGGGGTCCCTCTGTAGTGCTTGCTTCACCAACGTGCGCGTTCGTGGACAGCGAGCGGATATCCATAAAGGCTCTTGTAGCCGATGCATGGGACGCCCGCAATAAGTCGACAAATTCCTTTGCAGTCGTAAGATTGAAAGATCATGATACGTTTAGAGTCAGCAGTGATGAGTCGTTTGGTCAGTCTTGACGTAGGTGTGGGCATCTGGCTGGTGATTGGTGGAAGTGGGTTTGCAAGTTTGTGGGTCTTAACAGTCCCCTATACTGACTTGTAAGGCTATATTAGCTTTCAGATACACGGCTTGTTGTCACAGGTTGTCGAGTTCCTCCAGAGCCTCAGATGGCGGGCAGGAACCATGTATGCAGTGAGCATTTCCTCTCTGTATCGCCACACTAAGGCGCTGAGAGAGGAAGCTTGCGGCTCTAGGGGTCTCTTGTTGTTTCAATTAGCTTAGAACCCAGCTCCTTCAAATAACTAGCGGCACTTTTACCCAAGGCATCAACTGTTTCTGAGGCAATTGGGGACAAAATTTTCTCCGGTGGCTGCTTCCTGGTGATTGGTAGCACCGCCTGGATGTGTAACACTGAAGTCAACATAAGTGTTGGTTAAAGCTGAAACGCAAGTGTAGTCCCACACCAACTGTCTACTATTCTTCCAGGGGATCACCGTGATCCTGTCTGGGCGACCGACAGGCTCGTCAGAGTTACGGGGCACTAGGTAACGAGGTTCTCTCTCTGCTGGACAACCAGCTGTGGTAAGGCTCCTCTAATTAAAGCTGTGGTAAGGCTATTTACCTCACTGTGTCTTGCATAACCTCCCAATCTCTGTGCGTGGGCAGAGAAGGCCATGGCGGCCGTACCTGTCGTCCACAGTAACTATACGAGAGAATATCTATCTATTAAAAGTTGGAGGACAGACGCTTGGGCCTACCCTCGCCCAAAATTGGCAGAGGCAATGGTGTGATAAACGGGATGAACATAAGTCGGGGTTGCCAGCACTGAAAAGAGAACCACGTGTCAGAGCCAGTAAACAGACCCCCACGACGATTTCTGGCACTGCCCGCCGGCGAAACAGCTAAATGCCCTGAAAACAATTATGTCATCCAAAAACATTTTTCCTCTTGGAGTAATATACACCATAATTCATTGAGCTCGGGAAAATGAACGAAAATGTCCTGCTGTTCATAATTTTCCCGTACTCCCATAAAACAAACGGTCCTCCAACTGTTTCAAAAGGTGTCTCAAGCCACAACCTTTCTCAGAGTAGCAGAGTAACCGGTCTATGTTACGGTGCTCAGTTCCTCTCATCGACGGTCACATTAGACAGTAGTGTTTGTTATAAGAGAAAGACAGAGGCAAACAGACATATACAGCCAGAGACAGAAACAGAGAGACAGAGATAGAAACGAAGACAAGGACAGAGAAACAGAGAAAAACAGACAAAGAGAACAGCAAACAGACACAAAGAGAGTGACAGAGATAGAGACAGACACACAGACAGAAACAGACTGACAGTAGATCAATGGATGGATAAATGATAGATGGATGGATACGTGGATAGATAAAATTATGGATAAATGGGTGGGTAGATGGATAGAAGGACGAATACATGGATAGATGGATGAGTTGAAGAATGGATATAAAGATGGATGGACAGGGTCGAGTGGGAAGGACGAAGAGAGTGGAGAGGAGGGACGAGAGTGGGTGGGGAAGAGAACGATGGAAGGGAATGGAGGGGGGGGGGGATTGGGAATTGTAGGGAGGGTCTGCGGGACGGGGTAGTTGGGAGTTAGGTAGACGGGTGAAGGATAGAATGGGGTTTGGGGGATTAGGGTGGGGTGGGCGAGGGGAGGGCACCCGGGCACTGCTGGATTTTTTTTTTATTAACACATTAGGTACATCTGCATTAGTGCAGCTACCCTAGACTATATGAAGTGGAGTACAGTGTGTCAAAAAAGCTAACTAGGTGATGCTAAAAAATCCCCATCACACAGGATGGTTACTCATACAGAGGCATGTGATAAGCGGTCTGCACTGGCAGACTCCGGATGCATTTTGAGGATATCAACAACACAAGATTGAATAAGGTAGCAGTGGTAATAAAAGTCCCCATCTCGCAGGATGGTTAGTCATACAGAGCCATGTGTTTAATAGCCTGCACTGGCAAATTTTGGGTATACTGTGAGGATATCTTCAAGAATACGAGAGTGAATAAAGTAATTGCAAAGCTCCAGGTACCTCATGCCAACTGGTCTGAAAGGTCTAATAACTGGGCATTCAGTGATGTAGTGCGGGAGATCGTGCCGTAGTTCCTGCTCACAGAGTTCGCAACTGGAGTGCTCAGGATTGGGAGACCCGTCACCTGCAGCCACCTGCCACAGGTAACGGTAACCCAACCTGATCCTTGCAACCACTGTGTCGCACAGTCTAGTGGACGTTTTTGCTGGAGACCCATCTGAGTATATATAAACCTACGGACATCAGATCCCCGATTTAATTTCAGACTTCGTGCGACTTCATGAAAATCGCACGAGGGACTTGGGTTACAGGCTGATATTTCTTAAATGATTTAGCTTAAGCCAACCCAGAGCAGCCTATGTGCGTCCCATACCCCCAGACCACTTTCCCAGCATATTTGGGAGAGGCTACAGCATCTGGCCTGTGTGTACTCACCTAGTTGTACTCACCTAGTTGTGCTAGCGGGGATTGAGCTTTGTCTCTTTGGTCCCGCCTCTCAACCGTCAATCAACTGGTGCACAGATTCCTGAGCCTATTGGGCTCTATCATATCTACATTTAAAACTGTGTATGGAGTCAGCCTCCACCACAACACTTCCTAATGCATTCCATTTATTAACTACTCTGATACTGAAAAATTTCTTTCTTACGTCTCTGTGGCTCATCTGGGTACTACGTTTCCACCTGTGTCCCCTTGTTCGTGTTCCACCCGTGCTGAAGAGTTTGTCTTTGTCCACCCTGTCGATTCCTCTGAGAATTTTGAAAGTGGTTATCATGTCTCCCCTTACTCTTCTCTTTTCCAGGGACGTGAGGTTCAGCTCCTTTAGCCTTTTGTCGTAGCTCATACCTGTCAGTTCTGGGACGAGTCTGGTGGCATACCGCTGAATCTTCTCTTTGTCTTGTGTTTAACTAGGTATGGACTCCAGACTCGAGCTGCATATTCCAGGATTGGTCTGACATAAGTGGTATACAGGGTCCTGAACGATGCCTTACACAAGTTTCTAAATGCAGTTTTTATGTTGGCCAACCTAGCTTATCCCGCTGATGATATCCTTTTGATATGAGCCTCTGGGGACAAGTTCGGTGTGATATCAACCCCCAGATCTTTCTCTCTATTTGACTCTTGCAGGATTTCACTTCCCAGATGGTACCTTGTGTTCAGCCTTCTGCTTCCTTCGCCTAATTTCATTACTTTAAACTTTCCTGAGTTGAACTTTAGCAACTATTTTCTAGACCATTCCTCTAGTTTGTCCAGGTCATCCTGTAGTCTCTGTCTATCTTCATCTGTCTTGATTTTTCTCATAATTTTTGCATCATCAGCAAACATTGAGAGGAATGAGTCTATACTTTCTGGAAGATCATTTATATTTATTAGAAACAGGATGGGTCCAAGTACCCTGTGGGACTCCGCTGGTGACATCTCGCCACTCTGATGTCTCCCCCCTCACAGTTACTCGCTGTTTCCTGTTGCTTAAATACTCCCTTATCCACTGGAGTACCTTACCTTTTACTCCTGCCTATTCTTCCAACATTTTTAACAGCCTTGTATGAGGTACTGTGTCAAAGGCTTTCTGACAGGCCAAGAAAATGCAGTCTGCTCACCCTTCTCTTTCTTGCCTAATTTTTATTGCCTGGTCATAGAATTCTATTAAACCTGTGAGGCACGATTTACCATCCCTGAACCCAAGTTGGTAGTGTGTTACAAAACTGTTTCCCTCCAGATGCTCTACGAGCCTTTTCCTCACGATCTTCTCCATCACCTTGCATGGTACACAAGTTAGGGAAACTGGCTTGTAGTTCAGTGCCTCTTGCCTGTCACCCTTTTTGTATATTGGGACTATGTTAGCTGTCTTCCAACTTTCCGGTAAGTCTCCTGTTTCCAGTGACCTGTTATACACAATAGAGAGTGGCACACTTGGTGCTTCTGCACCTTCCTTTAGTATCCATAGTGAAATTCTGTCAGGCCCAACAGCCTTTGTCACATTCAGCTCCAACAGATTCCTTTGTGTGTGTGTGTGTGTGTGTGTGTGTGTGTGTGTGTGTGTGTGTGTGTGTGTGTGTGTGTGTGTGTGTGTGTGTGTGTGTGTGTGTGTATTCACCTAGTTGTGCTTGCGGGGGTTGAGCTCTGTTCTTTCGACCCGCCTCTCAACTGTCAGTCAATCAACTGTTACTAACTATTAAAAAAAAATCCAACACACACAGCTCAACCACCGAAAGCACAAATAGGTGAGTACACACCCAGGAAGCAGCCCGTAATAGCTGTCTAACTCCCAGGTACCTATTTACTACTAGGTAACAGGTGCATCATGGTAAAAGAAACTCTGCCCATATGTTTTCTACCATCGCCAGGGATCGAACCCCCGGTCCCCCAGGATTACGAGTCCTGAGTGATGTCCACTCAGCCACCAGGCTCCCAGGTGTGTGTGCGTGCGTGTGTGCGCGTGTGATTAAGACAATCGACATTAATGTGATTCTATCATGAAAACTAACGACTTTCCCTGCTATAGGAAGTGATACATTTTGCAACCAGATTGAAGAACTTTGACAATTCCGTAAGCCCAAATTTTTTTTCTCTCTTCTCATTGTAATAATCTCCCTGGGCCCTTCTTGTCCTCTAAGCTCTCTTTACTGCCTTTGATGTCCACGAAAATCATTTCCCCCCCCCCCTCACCCCCCCCCATCATCCCCCTCACCCCCCCCCCCCCATCACCCCCCCTCACTACGTTTTTCATACAGTGTTCCAATATTTTATAAAATTCACCAAAAGTTTGAAAGAAAAAAATATTGCATGAAGTCTATATTTTTTTTTTCCTGTGAGAAGTTTTTTTCTCCCTGCGATAGGGAGAAGAAATTTTGTTTTTGTTTTCTCTTTCTGATCACTAGTGTATTTCTCTGTCTTATTCCGTTAGTTCTCGGTTGGTTTGTATTATTCTCTCGTTTCCTTCCAGTTATTCTCTTTTCTCTCTTCTTGCTTCGCCTTCCGTTCCTGTTTCTTCTCCTGCGACTCTACAGACTCCGGCTCTTCTGAATCTCCTTCACTTTGTTCTCTCTTCAATCTTCTCTTCTTCTTGCTGTTCCTCGTGGCCTGTCTCTTAACAATGGCTCAATCAAGTTTCTTCATCCGACTCCAGCCCTTCTCTCTTGGTCCTCCCTTGCCAGCCCTTCCCTACCAGCCCTCCCCTGCCAGCCCTTCCCTTCCAGCCTTTCCTTGCCAGCCCTCCCTTGCCAGCCCTCCCTTGCCAGCCCTTCCTTGCCAGCCCTCCCTTGCCAGCTCTTCCTTGCCAGCCCTCCCTTGCCAGCCCTTCCTTGCCAGCCCTTTCTAGCCAGCCCTTCCACACCAGCCCTCCCCTGCCAAACCTTCCCTCTCAGCCCTCCCCTGCCAAACCTTTCCTACCAGCCCTCCCCTTCCAGCCCTCCCCTGCCAAACCTTCCCTACCAGCCCTCCCCTGCCAGCCCTTCCCTACCAGCTCTCCCCTACCAGCCCTTCCCTGCCAAACCTTCCCTACCAGCTCTCCCCTGCCAGCCCTTCCCTGCCAAACCTTCTCCCCGACTGTAAAAAAAATATAGAACAGGATTAGTTGTATTATTGGTCAACACTGACCTGGCAACACT